ACTGTTGTTACTTATTCTGACAAAGACACAAGAATCACCATGACATTGAGTCAGATTCTGGCCTGAATAGAGTTTAAATAGAAGGCATTTTCATATGGGAAAAACAAACAAACAAACAACAAACAATCGAAACAAGACAGAACATAAGCATAAGGATGAAACCAGTTTGGTAGGTCTGAAAAGGTCATACAATTTGACCTTTAAAAAAGGAAGAGCAGAACGGTATAGTAATAGAATACAGTGTTTTTTCAGAGCCAATGTCCCATTTCTAGACTATGAGTGGTTTACAGTTCTGCATCATAGACTAATGCCTTCTGCATTTACAAGTTTCATTTGCAACCGTAAGAGCTACCAACTGAAATTTTAAAGGAAAGCTTGTTGGATCCTCAAGTACAGAATGGTATCCGTGAGGGCAAAGCAAAATACAACCCAACAGCCAAAACCAGTCATTTCCAAGCTTTCCATTTATCATCAGTCCAAAGACCAAGGAAATACATTTGTGTGACCATTTTCCAGCTTTATAAGACTGTTCCTTGGAAAGCTCTGGTTACATTACTGAAAGCAATGTGCATGTGTTTCTGTAAACAAATCTCTTGCATCACATTTGCCTATTTGGGGAACTTTTTGCTATACAACAAAATTACATTTAAAAACTTCACATGATTCTAAATGTTTGTTGGGTGGTTTTTTTTAGTAAATGGAAGCTTATTTCCAGTCAGTAAGAGACTGATCACAGAAAAACTTCGTTTTAACTGTCCATAATTTAAAAAAAAAAAAAAAAAAAAAAAAAAAAAAAAAAAAAAAAAAAAAGTTGTGTCAGTACTAAAGTTGGGTCATTTCAGTGTTTATATTTGACTAGAAGGCTAAACGTTGTATTCCTTGCCGACTACTAGAAGCCCAGTTGCTTGTGTACATTCCCCTCTTGTGGCGATTAGCTAGTATTACAGAAAACAACAAATGCTGACAAGGCGGGAGGAGGGATTAAATGGAAGTAAAAAGTACTTCACCAAAAAAAAAGATCTTTCTTTTTAATTGTAAGGCTTGAAATGTTTTTGAAACGACGAGTTCGTTTAGACATTCTTCAGCAGTATAAAAACTTCTTCACTTAACCTTACTATCCTGCTATTTATTTTTTATATTACACCAACTTTCTTGCCAGCATCAAGGTTCTTTTCACCTGGCAACACATACTTCACTAACATTTCTGGCTTGCTTCTTCACACATATAACTGGTATTAAATTACAGCATCCTGTATCCTACCCAGTATGGATTTAAAAAAAAAAAAAAAAACAAAAACATAAGCCAGGGTAAGGTAGTTGGATGCAAAGCTGCTGAAAAGGGAAATGAAAATTTATATTATATACTGAATATTTAGGAAAAGGCCAAATGACATTTTCATTTAAAAAATCAGAACTCTGCCTTGACAAACTATGAAGATTTATCAAAGCAAGTGATGGAGCAATGGAAGATGTGGAGCTGTAGGCAGACATCAGGAACAGATGGTCTTTCCTTCAAGTTCTAGAGGCAAAGTGACAAACATTAATTAAAGCTTACTTAGATATGCAATATATCATCAATTATTTGATGGTCTTTTTCAGAGAGTGCCAAATAACTAGCATCTAAAAGGGAAAAATCTTAGGATTAGCAGACCAGTAGGGATCTTCTCTCAAAAGCAGAAGAAGATAGAAGGTCTGCATAATTAAGGATAGGAGAATAGCAAATCTATTAACACCAAGCATCCAGCTTTTCTGCAGTATTACTTATATTCTTACAGATGACATCAAGAAGGATACTCTTTAAGGATTTTTTCAATAATGAAGAGTCAGGAAAAAACATGAAGCTAAGAAGTAGTCTCCAAAAAAACCCTGTGACAGTGAATTTCTGCATCTCACAAGAGTAAGCAGTGGTCACCAGCAAATTACTTTTGAGGGTTATTTGGATAAGCAAACTGAAAATGCTTGTGTGTTTTATGGCTACATCTAGAGGCTTGAGAGAGACTTGAACTGCCCTCTACACTCAGGTCCATTTAAATGAACTAGAATCCTCTTGGAATAGCATGTTGTAACCCGAAATATAGAAAATAGGTCTTCAGCATAGAAAAAAACTGAAATATAGAAAATAGGTCTTCAGCATAGAAAAAAGCCATACAAAACATGTCGGCATGAGCCAGAAAGAATCAAAACTCACAGGACCTGCTATTGTAGAAAGCCTTACAAGATAACCACATCCACACACTTAAAAAGGACTAAGAAAAGCAGAACAAAATGCTCATTCTCCTCAAGGATGACATTCACAGGCAACTAAAAACAGTATTTTAAAATTACTTTGCAACTCTAGCTTTTCACCCCCTAAATTACACAACTATTAATCCATTTGTAAATATGTAACTTATACATAGATAGTGCAAAGTATAGAGCCTAATCAGGATTTTTCGAGAAATCTTCTTTCACCCTAAATATTCAATGAACCTGACAACTCCCTCCCCAGCAGTAGGAGACTCACTGCAAAGAGCCCCAGCCCTGAGACCTCAGTGATACTGATACCAGATGATGGGGCATTTCATTGCTGCTTTATGTAGCACTGAAGTCACTTCACACATTGAGGTCTCCTTGCATCTCTACAGTCCTTCATCAGGATCTCCCCTGTGCTATCCTCCCACCTCTGCAACTTCAGAGATTACTTAGTAGTAAATCCCTCTTCTCCCACCTCTTGGGCACCCAAAGCTTATACATCACTTCTACCTTTTCTTCTTCCACAAGCCAGGGACTCTGTACCTTCCTCACTTGTTCCCATCTTCCCAAAGAGCTTTTCCAGAGGTTTTCATTATTGCACACTGATGATTAGCTGATACTATACCTCTTAGTTTCAGCTGTGGTCAATATGAAGTCACAAAGGTGACACAACCTTCCTGTATACTCAAACACAGAGATTTTATGTCAGCTGTTTAGCAGCAATTGAGGCTGCACATCTCAAAATTGAATTTCAGGCATTTTCTAACTCTAGAAGGCCTCTGTACCTCTGGAGCTGAAAATTTTCTTCAGGCGGCACTTACTGAAATAATGTCATAGTCCCACCTGTATTCATGGTTGATAGGTCTCTGACTCACCACGGCCACCAACACTTAGCCAATGCTACAGTGCTCTTTGCTGTCTTTCAGGATATGCAGAAGGGTCTCATAGTTCTGTTGGCATTAGACTGGTCAGACACAGCCTCCAGCCTGGACTGTCACAACCCCTATTCACCCTGACAGTGTGCAGCTTTCTTTGGTTGCATACATTACCCTACATATCCTATGACCTGTGCATAGACCCTGAAAACACTCTTGGGCCCTTGTTCAGGGAGGGCAGAGGTGCTGTAGCCAGAGGGGTGGTGACAAGGAAAACTCCTAATCTTCTGCTCTATCTGGAGCTGCTTTATATTGTGCTAGTTATTAACAAGAGTTGCAACATTACAGGATTTCACTACCCTGTGCAAGTAGTATGCACAAGTAGTCCTGATAAAGAATGACTAATCACGTCCTTGATGAGTGCCCTACTGTTAAACAGCCCGGTTTTGATCTGTTGTGCTGCCCCTGAACATTCCTGAGTTGTTCTTGTTCTAGCCAGGAACAGCATCTTGAGAGATTTTTGAGCACAGATGGTTTTTAAGATGTTCTAAACTGCTGGTAGAGTCAGACACGGATGTAACATATTGTTATAGATTGTCTCCTGGCCACCTTGAATGTGGATCTAATTTCTTTCAGAGATAGCTATGGCTCAGTTCATTTAACAGTACAGTTATAAATAATAATTATTAATATTTTCATTATTATTCCTCCTTCTTCTGCCCCTGTGCCATGTTATGCACGTTACCCACTTTTCTACTTGAGTCCCTCTCTGCTTAATAAAATGGCCACCATTTCTCCTTGTGGGAGAAGGCTCTATATAAGTCTTCTGATCTCCTCCATCCTCTTTTTACCTGAAACGTTTACTTTCATAACTTTCATTCAAAAGGTCAACATTTTAAACAACCTTGCTGCAACTGGCACAAAAAAGTGTAGTGATATGCTGCATGTGGCAAATGGATACTGACCTTTGATTTGCAGGAATCATACACATTTAATTGGCAGGATGAGCTGGATGTGCTAACTGAGGTGCAAAGCTCAATCTACAGCCCATTTCTGATTTATTCTTGACTTTTTATTTTTAGCAAAATCAAAAGGTTACTATCTTTTGTCCACTGGCCCACAATTACTTTTTCATCAGATATCCATTTAGCTTGGATCAAAATACAGAACTGCATGATAGGAACTATTATATTGCATGACAAACTTCCTCTGTATTAAGTATGATCCTCAAATGTAGAGCTGAGTAACATATTGCATAATGTCTATGCAAAGCATAACCAAAGTCTTAGTTTTCCACAGGCATAAAAACTCAATTTGACATGTCAGACTCTCCTTTTTGGAGGAAAATAGCAGGCAATAGTTTTGGTGAGAAGTATTTAACAGCTCTTCTTTCCAAGCACTCATTTCTCTCTCCTTCCTAGAGTTTTCTCCCTTAGATACATGGTAAAGGTGCTCTGCAACCAGCTAGTACAAAAACTCCATGAAAATAACTCACTACACTAAATTCCCCAAATTTTCATACTTTCTAGCTCTTTCCATTTGTAATCTATTAGGATTACAGATCTGGATTTTGGTTTGGCCCACTACACTGAAACTAACATTATTAAACTAGATTATTGTTCTCATTCATGATGAGCAGTCCAGAACAGTGCTTTAGTGAATCTCAGGATATATTTTCCTTTAATACAACTCTTAACACACCATTTAAGAAAGCAGAATTGAGCACAATCATCAAGCTCCTTTACTTTGTGAATTCTGAAAAGTCACAGAGGTACATTTTCAAAACAGCTTAGAAAAAGCCATAGGAAATGGCTCTCCTAAAGGGAGGGGAAATGAATAAAAACAGCCTATAAGACAGTAAAAAAAATGGAACTTGCTTTCCTTTCATCTCAGATGCAAAAAAAAAATTGCAGTCCTGTGATCCTTCATGTAAGACCTGTGAGAAATCTGCCGACATATGTACTTCATGTCCAGAAGGTAAGAGACCAGCTTCTTTGAGTAAGTTTTGCAAGAGGTTAAAATAGTCTGTATCCTACACATTTCCAGGGAATATTTTTGTCAATGGTCAGCAGAAAGCTCTTTGACAGCTTAAAGCATAGGCAGGTAGTCAAGTAATCAGATAACCACCAGCTGAAGTCAGGCATCAACTAGGAACTGAGCACATGCCCGTGGCAATATGGGTCAAAAAATTGTTAGATGGATGTTGTTCCTTTTCTTTCTTTTCAATCAAAAGTTGTAGACATGATGCAGAAATTACTGAATAGGGATTTATTCAGAAAGGTGTACTAGATAATCCTGATGATTCCTTCTACCCTTGAATTTAAGCGAAGGTTGAACAAACTACTTTGGCAAATGGCTTACAGAATGTTTTATTCATGTTTTTAAGCATTAAAAAAAAAAATTGGGGGGGGAAGTTGGAAGCTTTTTTTTATAGCCATCCAAGTCAGGAATCTTTTAAATATCTTTCTAATTGGTGCCTTTTCCCACCTGGGTTGCTCTTTTGCCAGGAAAGTTTCTTATCGATGATATCTGTGTTTCTCTGTGCCCTCAAAAAACTTTTGGAAACATTGCAAGTGGAAAGTGCGAGATGTGCATGGATGGCTGTGAGGTGTGCTCCGACCACTGGCACTGTCAGAAGTGTCAGGCTGAACAGGACCAGCCGCTCTTTCTCCACAAAGGCAGATGTTTACAGGAATGCCCTGAGTAAGTAACACCTGCTGGATAACTGCTCCTTATTTTCTCATTGTGCTCCTTCTCTTTAAAGTTCAGATCCATTATAAACCTTTCAAGGGAGACCTTTCAAGGCAAAAGTCATTTTCAGCTGGACTGAATAAACAGCATGTTGTTTTGCTTATAGAAAAAGTGAAAAATCAAAAGTTGAGTCTGGACATGAAATTCTGTGTCAATGGCACAGCTACCATGGGCTTTAATAGAACCGTGGTACTGCAGGATGGATGGTTCTTTATGGTGGCTGAAAAATAAGCCTCTAGTCATTCTCCTAACTCGTACCTTCCTCAAAGTAGTACATGCAGGGGTGTGAACCCAGAAAGTGGATGTATCAGAGTGCTGATATGGAAATATAGTTCTCGGTGATGTGTTTCTCTATTTGACTTATATTCTTTACTTTTTCCTGTAATAAAGTGAATTCAAAAAGAAAGATTCCCATTTGACTGTGATGGGTATTATATCAGGCACTTGAGTAGATCAGATTCTCCTGTTTCTGTGTTTTTTTAATCAGTATTTATCATACCTATATATATACATAAAATCTGTGCTATGCAATATGAAAGTCCTGCTTGGTTAACCTTTCTCTTAAGAAAATTGTGCAGCTCCTGCTTTTCTTACTATCAGTGCAAATTCTTTGCTAACTGTCAAATAACTCAATAAGGCCAGTGGAACAGATTCTGATCATCAAACGTCAGTGTAAATGCAAACTAATTACACTAAAGCCTACTTTATTCCAGAAACAACTTCTAATAACAGAAGTTGTGGCATTCATGCAAAGATAATGTTTTGGCATTAATATGTTTGTTCTTAGTACTCTTTTCCCACAGGATCAGTATAAAAAATTAAACATTTTTACACATCACTAGTCTTTTCAGCTCTTATTATTGCCCTTTTTTCAAATTCCAGACTATAAATAGTGGCTTCCCAGACATTCAGCAAAGATCACTAGAGTTAAATTCTGTTTTCAGCCTCTGAGACAAAGTTCTTGAGGCATAACCACTCTCCACTAGAGGAAAGGTTTTATGAGTTGGTTTTTTTGAGTTTTTTTGAGTTTGGGGATATGCTATAGGGGATAAAAAGGGTTAGACTTGCTGCACTGATAATTTCTGACAGAGGACTTTGAAAGACTGGGCTAGCAAGAGTATTCAAGACCGGAACAAAAGAAGACAGGACTGTGAGAAATAGATGCAGCTTCATGACAAAGGTTAGGAGAAAAAAAGAAGTTGAGAATAGATGGCAGGCACAGCTCTTCCTATCTTTTCTCTAACCTTGCTCCTAATGCATCTCCTCAGCCTTTCTTTGGAAAAATTGTCTTCAAGAATGGAAGGAGAAGCACCCCTCTACAGGGAAGAATGAACTTGTTAATGTGAAGTACATGTTTTGGGACTACTTTCTATATCAACTTCTTCCTTAGTTTTTATCAGTTACTGTATGCATATGGATTAGCAATCATCTTGAAATGTGGACCTGCTTGTCCTTTAACCTTCTAACATTCTGGCTTTGAGAGTGTAGGTAGATCAGACTGCATCCAACTCTCCTTTTATTCCTCTTCCAAAATATAAGTGCAATTTTTTGCTATATTTTCTTTATGGCTTATAGTCCTAACCATGGTTGTTTACAGTTGCTCTCACACCACAGATACCAGTAAAACATGCTCCATTTTCACTGTCTCCAGCTTGCTGTCACTAAACACAGGTACTATTTAAGCATCCTGGTTTTGTCAGGGTTTTTTAATATCACCTCTCCTTACTCTTCCCAGCCTTCACACTTCTAGGGTTTTCTCTTTCTCCCTTGTAGGACCACTGAAGTTATATTTCTGTCTTCCCCCTATATCACTGTTGAGGGTCAGCTGTGCAAGACTAGATATTGTATCTTTCCTTTCCCAAACATTATAGATCTTCCTATCTTATGTAAGGGGGAAATCAAAAAATGAGAAAAAAAGGAAGTCTAACATCCCTTAAGAGAGTAGGTACAAGAACAAAGGAAGGGCAGACTCCCTTCATAGCACTAATCATGCACATTTTCTGCTCACAGGCAGAGAGGATGTAAGTGTAGGATGGGCAACAAATTGTGTGAGAAACTTGCTTGATCCAATGAAATGTGTGTGCTCGGAAAGTCTCATATATACTCATAATTCTTATAGCCTGGACTGTTTGATAACTATATATTGACCAGCAGTTTGCTTTGTTTGTTTTCATTCAATAGGGGATATTTTAATGATTCTGAGACTTGCAAGGAATGCAGTGGATCCTGTAAGACATGCATTGGAAGTGCAACCAAATGCCTGTCCTGTAAAAGTCCTTTACTTCTGGAGCAGTGGAAATGTAAACCTACCTGTTCAGAGAAGCACTTTCCCTCTGAAGGAATCTGCAAACGCTGCCTTGAAATGTGTCAAGAGTGCATTCACAATCAAACATGCAAAGGTATTATAAAGAACTAGTCTTGACTTGGCTAAAATCTATCTGGATCTGTCTAGAGACAGACTGACAGAAACACAGATCTGAAATTTTATAAAGAGCAAAAATTTAAAAAGAGATGTCTATATGATTGCTAATCTCTAAAACAGAGGTTAAGCAATCAGTGCTCTATGATGAGGCTCAATCTAAACCATAAATCTGTAAGATTTCACATTGCTTTGTCTGTTCTTGTCATCCTTCAGAGATTCCTCCTGGTCTGATTCTATTTCTTACCTAGTGTATCCATGCCTAAATACTTGCACACACTTTTACATCAATGTGAAAAACAGAATGTTTCTTTCCTAGTTTGGTTGAACTTTAAATCTCTTTACTATTTTTGCAAATGTCTGCTCATGGTAGAGAATGAAATCTCTGTAATGAAACATATTAAGAAAGCCTTGGATATCCTGGTGAGTGTGAATATGTCCACAAAAATTTCTAGGATGGTTAATATTGAGCGATCCATTCTAGAAACATAAAAATGGATGGGAAAACAAACAAACAAACAAACAAACAAACAAACAAAAGAAAACCCACCTCATAAACAAAACTATTAAACCAAATACTCATAATAAGATCAGCAGCTGAATCCCAGCTGTATGTAAAGACAAACACTCAGGTCCATATATTCCAGTCAGACTCATCTTTTAATAATAAACCAAACAAAATTTCAGATGTGGACATCTCTGATTTTGCAGGAAGATCATAATGCAAATGCATCTCAGCAGAAGTCCACCTATCTTCAGTGGCAGCATAGTTTGGTTGATAATCAGCAAAGCTGAACAAATGACTTTGCTTCGCAGTAACACAGAAGATGTTTGTGAAGGTTGGGCCATTATGGGCAGTTTGCAGGAGAAAGAGTCGAAAAAGAAAACGCTACCTACCCAAGTTGTCTTCTTACCTCCTCTTATGACGGGCACTGCAGGATTTATGGTTTCCTGAGATTTCTTCACTCCCTCACTTACAGAGGTCAGAATTTCCTGCCGATTTTCTTACCTGTTGTTTGCTGTCCTCTGTAGAGTGCATGGATGACTTCTTCCTGCACGAGGGGAAGTGTGTGCAGGAGTGCCCTTCTCACTTCTACGCCGAAGACAAGCACTGCTTTCCCTGCCATGCAGACTGCAAAGACTGTGACGGGCCGGACTCAGATGATTGCACTCAGTGCGCTATTGACTTCTTTGTCCTCTACAGTGGCATGTGTTTTGAAGAGTGCCCTGAAGGGACTTACTATGAAGAAGCCACAGACGACTGTCAAGGTTGGCAGTGTTGTTTTCCCCAGAATGGTATTGAGATACAAGTGGGTCTGGTTAAAGACTATCCCCAAAAGATCTGCATGTGCTGGCTAATGTCACTATCCATGTCCTGGAAACAGAGGAGGTAGCTAATGCAGAAAAATAATGTTAGAACACCAAAAACTGGAGAAAGCTGAGAGGGAAGTAGCAAAGTTAGATGTGTTTAATATTATGGGTAACCACTCTGGTAAAGTACTTAGTATCGCTGGAGACAGTACATTGAAAACCACTGCTCAGCAAAAGCCGTGTCAGTGCAAAAGGAAACCTAAGTCACTGCCTGTGTTAAGATTGAAAATAAGTTTGACTATGCAGAAGCAGAGCTATAGCTCTGTTTCCCTCAGCCTCTCATCCTGAGAAGATGCCTGCTCCTTGCAATATTAGAACTGAAACAATAATATGAAATGCAACAAGAAATAATGACATTCCTGCTGTTTGTCCATTTCAGCATGCAACAGGACATGCCAGACTTGTTCTTCTTCCACTGCCTGCCTTACTTGCAGAAATGGCCTGATGTTGAACCATGACGGGCACTGTGTAGCATCTGGCTACTGTTCTAGCACTGAGTACTACATTGAGAAAAATCAGGCCTGCAAGCCTTGTCATAAGAAATGCTTCCACTGCTCAGGACCCACTGAACACCAGTGTCTTAGCTGTGCAAATAACCACTATCTTCTCAGTAAGTGTCTTGCTCCTGCCTTTAGATTTTATTCTATACTGAAAGCATGAAATAGGCAAGTTTCTGTCACATTTATGAAACATCTAGGGCTGCTTCAGCCAATCTAAATGTTGCAAAGTTTACCTGACAAGTAGATAACTTGTGCAGAGATAATTACTTCTGCAGGGCTACGTGGAAACTCTGTGAGACTGGGCTTGCCACTCACTGGGGCCAAAGCAGCACTTCTAAGTAGCAACAAAATCCATGGCTAAACAAAACTTGTATGTGTCACGTACTTGGTATGTTCCTGTTGCTTCCTACAAGGAACTTAAAAAGACAAGTTTTTTTTTTTTTTTGTGGTTTTTTTTTTTTTTTTAAATATACACACAAAGAACTCACATTTTCAGGTTGGCTTCTTTAATCCTCAGAGATCTGATGAGCAAAGAAATACTTAAGAAAAGCAGTAAAACAGTTGTTCATGGATCAGTAGGTCAGTATTTAGTGAAAAGCTGAGGTGCAGAACTACTTTTCTGAGTTTTGGAGCAAAAGGCTCTTGTTTCAGAAACAAATTGGTAAAAACTATAAAATCCCAGAATTTAAACCTTACTTCTTTGCATATTCTTTAAAAAGCAAACAAAAGATTTAGAAAATCATTGGGAGAAAAAAATTACTAATATCTTTCATGCAGAAAAAATCTAAGTAGAGTCTAAATTGAAACTAAACCTGAGCTTTTTGAGTCTAATTCTGATGTGGATTTTGCATTCTTAAATTTCTGAGGTCTTGCATCAGACCTGTCTTTTTTATCAACACATTCATCTGCTTTGCAACATTACAATTGGCAAAGTTGGTGGAAGTATGTAAATAAACATTCTGGAGTGGGAAAAGAATTTCGAGTAAAGTAGAAGTAAGGGGAAATATCTTCCTTTGTCCAGCTTCAACCCAAGCAGCAAAACTATATAGACAAGCTAGGTGTGAGTACAAGCCATCAATGAGTAATCACCACTCTCAGCTTGATGCACTTCAGTTAGTTGCATCAGTCCTAACTTCTTCAGAATTCCTATTCTAATGACCCTCTGAAATTTCATTGAGAAAGTGTGATGTACCTGGTATATTTGGCAGCATTACAGGCATTTCTTCCATAAAGCAGCAGCCACATACAGGGGCAAAGACCAACAAATACATGTTATTAAAAGTTATATTTACCATCAGATTCATCATATACACAGAATGCAATGAGGTTGGTGCTTAGAGTGAAACAAAGAAAATAGCAATGCAGATATAAAGTTTCCTAATCACTATTTCTTCTTTTGTATATTCTGAAAGAAATCACAGCTGCTGTTCATCTTTATGTATTATGCATTTATACTTCCCAGAGATAAAAAATTAGCTGTTTTGAAGAGCATGCCAATGTACATAAAATGCAGAAATGAGGACTAATGAACTGACAAGACTTAGAAGAAACTAACAAAAAAATTGTTATATACCAACATTCTCTTTTCTTGTTCTGGTACATGCTCTAACAGCATCTCCTGTTAGACAGTTTGCTCTAGCACAGCTGTATGAGATGTTTTATAGCAGCAAATACTCAGTATGATGTGTTATTCTGCATTGTTGTCTGTGCAGATACAACCTGTGTTGAAACATGCCCAGATGGGTATTATGTTGACAGCAATGAGGGACAATGTTCCCCATGCCACACTGCCTGTGTCACTTGCACTGGAAAACACAGCTCACAGTGCCTTTCCTGCAAACCAGGCTGGTACAGACAAGGAAAAGGATGCATAAACCAGTGTCCAGCAGGGTAAGACCTAAGATCTTTAGCTAAGTGCTGCATCACAGAGAGAGCTTTGACAAATGAGATCATTCCATCCTATTCTGTTTCAGAGTGAAATTGAACTGAATTCTATTTTCAGGTGAAAAAAATCTTATGTTGTCCCAGTACAGAGGTGGCAGAAGACCTCTCCTCATAGTAGAAAACTGTAAAGTTGATGCCCAAATTGGGACCAGCTTGGTGTGCTGTGGTCATTCTTACACTCCAAGGATGCTCTTAGGTTATGTTTATACAGAACAGTGTGAAGCAGAATAAATATAATTATCTATTAATCCGCTTGAGCACAGAAAGCTGCATAACTTCTTCAAGCACCCTTGCAGCCTCCACTTAACCTGAAGTTTGGATGAAGTTACTTTTGTTTTACATTGAGTGAGTGTTTATAAGGGATCATAATTAACCATTAAAACACCTTTCAACTGAGGACTCATAATTCTAGATAGCAACTTCATGAGTCCATTTAATTTCACATTGTGAATTCCGTGTATTCTTGTGAATGTGTCTCAGAAATTCACATTTGGGAAGTGGACCTACAATTTCTGATTCGGGTCCATTTCATTTTACAGTACAGTATTATCACACGGGCTGTTAAATTGAGTTATCACCCCATTAAATTGGAAGGCTGTAATGACAAAACCAGAGTGCAACAATTCTTCTTTTTCCCTAAGAGCACAACTTAGGTGAATACTGTTTCTCTGCTGGTACCCTTTGGCTAAACATGTTTATGCACTGAAAGGAAATACAAAATTTCTGAATTTCTACCTGACAGTAGGTCATCACAAGCAGTAAGGAACTCAGTGCTTAACAAACATCTCTAGGATATCTCTTGCAGTGCCAAAAAGAGTTGAGGTTTTCTGAGCCCTGTCTATTTGTATATTTTGTGTCTGAATTCACCCTAGATTTTAGAAAGCCTTGCTTTATACACCCTCAGTTTACAAACTTTTGCTTTATAGCTGAATTCCAACAACCAAGGGGAAAGAAAATTAATTCTATTTTCATTGAGATTGCAAATAGTTACTGTGATCACATCAATATCACTTTCATATATTGATGTAATCACAGTAAAAGCTAAGGATGAAGGATGTTCTGGTTTTCCTGTCTCTGCTGGGCCTTACATAAAGCCATGACTATCTGATCTGTTTCAGGTATTTTGCACAAAACTCCACTGGATCATGTGAGAGATGCCACAAGGGTTGTAAGGAGTGTACAGGGCCTCAACGCACAGACTGCCTTTTCTGTGATACATATTTCTATCTGTTGCGCTCCAAGAACGAATGTGTTAGCTCTTGTCCTGAGTACTACTACGAAAGCAAGGACAACAACATCTGTGAAAGATGCCACCCTTCTTGCCGAACTTGTGAAGGTAAAAGTATATGCTCTGCTTTGACCAAAAAAAAGGGTTATCAAAACACCTGCCAAGGATTATCAAAACACCTGCCATCTCCTTTTTTTCTTTTTTAAACTCTCTGCTCCAAGATTTGGAAATACTTCACAAAGAGACATACCACACACAGCACTACCAACCTGTGCATAACCTACGTAGTTGCAGTGGGTGATGCAGACCCTCCCTGGGGCTGCTGGGGTCCCTGGCCCCAGGTGACTTGTTTCACTGGCTGCTCCATGCTGCCACCTTACTTTTAGTACTTTTACTCCATCGACTAATGGAGATCAAAGCAAGGATATGAATTCCTGCCAAGTTCCCCACAGGTCTGCCTCCAGCCACAGAGCACAAGCGTAAAGGCAGCCACTCATGGGGAGGGCTGGGACCAAGTCCCAGTGCCAAGTCAGTGAAGGGAAACAAATGGACAACAGTAATGAATTTTCCAACACTCAGGTCTCTCATAAAGATGCTCATCAACTTCAGAAAAAAATACTCTGTTGGTTACAGAACCAGACCTTGTTTCTTGCACAGACACTGGACAATGACTGAATAGTATCTCATTCTTTGAGCTGTCCTCCTATGTGTTATTCTGTGAATGCTAAGGAACCGAAATCCAGCCACATACCTTTACAGTCTGCAATGCAAAGAGTAGAAACAGCCAGAAAGCATATCTCGGGGCAGGGGGAAGAGTGTCTGTTGCTTTTAATATAGTTATGTATTTTTCAAAGTTAACTTTGAGAGACCATCTGTTTTGTTCTGAGATACAGTTAAGTATTCAGACACTTCTTTTTCCTAATTCATCCAATTCTGAAGCAAGCAGCATTACTCCCCTTGGACCTATTTGGTGTCCTTTTCTATCTGAACAATATCAGATGATAGCTAATAAGTGCCACTCTGCAGCTTAGGCTACACCATGTTGTAACATACAAAATTTGGTTTGGATAGTGGATATACTGGATAGCACAGATGGCTAACTGCAACATAACAATATATCAAATTGTGGAAATAACTCTTAGAGTGAAGACACCTTCAAGAACTACTAAAATTTAATTGTATAACAATAATATAACAAATAACAGAAATATTTAGGATTGGATTTGAGACAAAAAGATAGCCATTTTAATTTACAGACTATTTCCACTGATTTTTGCTTTATTTGGGATAAATACTACACCATAGATTTTCTATTGTAATTACAGAGACACTAAGATGAAACACAAGCCAGTCCTCCTAAACAGCAAACCTGCAGGTATTCTGAAATGCATCTGCGTTGCTGATGTAGGACCAAAGAAATGTTGTGGTGTCTCTGGTTTCTCAAGAGCGGGAAGGCAAACCCTGCACTGCTCAGAAAAATCACTTAGTAAATTCACTGGCTTATAGAAGGTTACTAACTTCAGCTCTTTAACTGCTGCTAACACGAGCTACTTGCATTTCCATTTTCTTCCTTTCAGACAGTGACATAAAATGCCTAATTGCAGGGAAACGGACAGGTTCATCTTAACACATAGGGCAAACCATTCACTTCAAAATTTCACAGAAATACTGAATGGCAGCATTTGTCTTCAGAAAGAGTCTCCAACACATGAAGTGCATATGATGTTCTGTTTGCACACAGCGAATAATTTTTTTCCTATGCAACTGAAGAATTCATTTTTCTATTCAAACATAAGCATACCTTAATTCATTGTGGTTTGCAAACGGTTAGCTAGCAGGCCTAGTAAGTATTGGGTTTGTAAAGGAGAGCATTTGGCCAAGGTTCCCCACAATTTTACTTCATTGTTCTGATCTAATTGATTTTCTTGAAGGTGTCAGAACTTCCCTGTACAACTAATTCCCAAATCAGCTTTTCATGAATATCAAAACACATAAGAAATACACTTTGAGGGCACAGAGAGCTTCAAGACTACGCCCAAGATCTTCTGTAATACCAGCCTCCTCATGTTGAACTCCTCTCTGCTGATTCTTGGTGTTGACAAATAACCTTTTTCTTTAGCAGCAGTGGTCAGTATAATTTTTAAGGAAAGTTAGATGACAATTTTTTCTGTTGTAATATGTTTATTATATTTGCCTTTTTAGGGAAGGGGGCATTCAGCTGCACATCTTGTGTATGGAGCTACAGTTTATTGGGTGGAATGTGCAACTCAGACTGTTTTGTAGGTGAATACAAAGTCCAGGAGACACCAGGACAAGAGGTATCTATTTGTAGGCATTTTCTTCTGTGATTCGTATGCTGAACTTTAACTTCTGAACACAACACAGAATGCTCTTCTCTGAGTTTTCAAGGATGTTTACCTTTAAATATGCTTATACTTTTTTCTTCTCTTGCCAGAGGAAGCACTGTTTCTCTTTCTGGGGATGTCTACTGTAGAGTAATCCTCTACCAGTAAAGTAAAGGCACAAAGCCTCTACCAAAGCCATGTGAACAAAATCAGCTATATTAGTAATACAGCATTTTTTTCTTCCGGTATAACTGAGATTTCCCTACAGATTTCTGCTGCTTTGTGTGTGAGAAATCCCATCACATTCCTGATTGACAGCTCTGCTGGCATAAACTTCTAATGGAGGGACAGACTGATGTTAACAGAGCTGTATATTTAGCAGAGTAGAAGCACAGTTAGGTTTGGATCTGTGCCACAAGTCTGGGCACTCCAGCTTCCAGATTTCTACTCCAACTGCCTTCCAAAGATGTTTATTCAAGGATATTGTAACAAGGCTAGCCAGCTGGCCTAAAATGCTGCATACCCTGGAGTCTCTGGCCTGGAATATCCCCTTAGCAGTGCTGCTCCATAACTGTGAGCCTGAGAAAACAGCCCAAGACCTTGGGACCACAGGGTTCTGCAGTTCTTTGCAAGAGCTTTGACTCTGGGAAACTAGACCTCCTGATATGACCCTCCCATCTTGCCCAGGTTCTTTGATTCAGGACAAGCAGCCTTGCAGATCTGACAGCAAGTTTGATGAAAGTTTATTGGACTTTCCAGATCCTCACAGTGGATATGGCGTCCTGGTCCTATGGCAGAAAAATAGCATTTTTTTCCCCAATGGGCCAGGAACTGCAAACACTGGAAGCACTGACATACCTCAGCTCAGAGCATTCTGCTAATTAGATGTGAAAACAATGATCTCTGCTATGTCCTTGCACACAGAGGCTCCCAGGAGCCTATGTGGAATTTGAGAAGCATATCTGAATGTAAAACAGAACCGACACGATCTAATAAAAAGCTGTTTTGCTAGAAAATTTCCAGCCAGATTTAGTCCTTATTTCTGCTCCTTCCCAAGTTAGAAAGGAAATTCATTCTCTCAGCTACCTTTTGGGTTTTTTTCCCCGAATATTTCATGTTGTTTCTCCTATGTCAGTTACTTTTAATGACACTCTTGAGTACACTTCTTGAAGGCCACTTTACTATCATTACTGCCAAAGAACCACTGATCTGCTAGCATGGGACTAGCAAAATAAAACCACACTTTTTGGCCAGAGAGCTTACACTCCGAATGAATTTTTTCTTGCTATCTAGCTAGGTGAGATCTATAAGCTCCTACAGTACTTTCCCTCCCTCTCCCTGCAAACAGATCACTGAGAGTCCAGGAAATACAAACCAAATTTTACTTTTCCTACTTCCTACTGTATTTTTGCCAATGACATCTGTGGTGCCCAGAGATGACTACTCAAAGAGGACAGAATGTCCTGTGAATGACAGAACAGATCTGCCAGGTCAGGTCCAAAGAGTACAAAATGAAAGGTGCATTGCTTGTGTTCTGTGTCTAAAGGAGGATGAGCCCAGGTGTGAGAGATGTGACAGCTCATGCACTGAGTGCAAGGGGCCTGGGCCTCTCAACTGCACTGTCTGCCCAGCCAGCATGCAGCTGTACCTGGATGACAGCCGCTGCCTGCCCTGCTGCAGTGACCCTGACCTGGCAGGCACCCCAGAGTGCTGTGACTGCAGTGAAACACAAGGTAGGACCATGCTGAAGAGCAGTAAAGGTGCTGAAGGGCTTCATGACTAACTAGGCTGACATTTAAAAATCAAAAGGGGAACAGAGGAAAAAATGAGCTGCTGAGCTGCAGGCACAGGGTGCCTGCTACTACTGCTCCATCACCAGAATAGAAAGGGTTTTACACAAATAACAGCGATCATGACTGATGCAGGAGATGGTACCTTCTTTCAGTCACTGCTATTGTGTTAAATGCACAGGCATTTCACAAACCAGGTGACAGAGAAGTGCTTGCTTCCATAGATAGCCATCTGAACCATTACATTTTAAGCTCATCATGTCAAAATGTGTCTGTGCACCTGTTAGCTTTTCTGCTTCTTTCTGATTATTTCTAATCTAATAAAAAAGCATAGCTACCCCAGCAGCCTTGCTTACATCCTTATACCATCACAGTGGTGATCCTAGAAGAGTAAGGTATTTAGTCAAATGCATTTAAAAATACAAGCAGGCCCAAACATTGTATTAGATTCTTTAAGACAAATACCCCACCACCACCACCATACATATGCACACAAGCTCATTTAATCTTTTGTTTTTTCTACCTGCTGTTGTAGATGACTGTGTATTACGGACCACTTTACCAGCTAAGAGCAAAAGCAAAACTACTTTCTTTGTTATTACGTGTGTTTTGCTTCTCCTTGTCATTGGAGCTATTGTATTCATATGGAGAAAATCACGAGCCAAAACCCAGCCTGTCAACAAAGGTGGGTATGAGAAGCTGACAAATCACTCCAAAGCCTTTCCTTCATATGTGAGCAACTACCACGAGAGTCTCGGCTACCAGGAAGATCAAGTGATTGAGTATAGAGATCGAGATAATGAAGATGATGACGAAGAAGATGACATTGTATATATGGGCCAGGACGGCACAGTCTATCGCAAATTTAAATATGGACTTTTGGAGGATGACGAGGAAGATGAGCTGGAATATGATGATGAAAGTTACTCATTTAGATAACTCTTTACTAATTTATTAATTTCCTGCTCTGTTGCTTTTCCTATTAAAGTACAGCAATTTAGTTAAGAATATTTAGTTACTTCTTAGCATGCTGAGCTCAAGATTTTAGCTAACAGTTATTCTAAGAGCAGAATAGTTTCTAAAACTTTTTTTCCTAAAGCTTTACATAAATCCTTGCTAGGCTTTTAAGTAGCACTGCAGATGTAGGCTGGTTAAGAGATTATGTTTCTGTGTTTTTGTGTGGAGAGTAAATCCTTTCCCAATATGTATTTGTGTGCATTACAACTAACTCTGCTTCAAACCATGCACACACGCTTATTGAGAACCTTGCCAATCACTACTAGAAATGTGCAGATGATGTGTATTTATCTACCTGATGAATGCCACTGGGAAAGGGTGCCAGTAGTTTACTACTTTGTGATTACAGTTATTCAGCAATTCATAATAGAATTAGGCAAGTTTGCTGACTTTACCCAGACTTCTTTGTTGGTATCATCTGGTGCATCCATGTTCCTTGAAGTCTGCACTGTCCTCCTTGTAATCTTGTAGCATACTTCCCAGTGAAATTTTGCATCTATGACATGACATTTTAAGATTTCTGATTGTGACTCTACTATAGGTTAACTACATTGTATTCACAGTTTGTATGAAATATGACTAAAATATTTTGTGTATCAACCTCTGATTAATCTTTACTGTGGTGTTTGTCAAATAATCTTTCATTATACACACACACTTCTGGGTTTACTGCAAAGGGAAATATGGTCTATAAGCACTACTACCAAAAAAAGGACTCCTTTTGTCCTTTCAACTACCTTCTCAGTGATTTAAAAACAGAACATTTATTCAAGCAGCTTTTCCATCTCTGTTGTAAATGGCTCGGGATGTTCAGTCAATGGCAAAGAGAATAATTATCACTTATTTGTTAATGTAACTTAAAGGAACACAGCAATGTGATTTTTTATGATTATTACAGAAATATAATTTATCATACTAAAGAAAAGGATACTCTTTATGGCACTTCGTTGTGAAAGAATAAATTCTTTCCACAAAACTGTCTTGAAAATGCTGTTATTTGTCAAATTTCATTCACTCTCAGAATTCCTTTAGATTTCCAGTTGCTCTAGAACTACAAATCAATTAAAGGTAGTGTCTTCAAATGAATTGTGTGAAAATCCCTAGTATTTATGGCTCAATGTCTCAGAGGAATATTTTGTATTAAGCATTCCTAAAGACCTCAGGATAGTTCCATCTGTAAGTTTAAAGAAGTTTTATGGAGAGGTTTATTTCTTCCATTTTGAATTTCAACCTTTTAATCATTGCACCTTCAGTAAGAGAGGAATCAGAAGTCATGTGACTTCATAAAAGCCATTAAAAGGACCTTTATTTATCAAAAGTTATATGATAATAAGGTATTTATGAAAGATGCATGTTATCTGTCACTTGAATTCAAGTTCTGCTCTGGTGAAATTTTGAAAAAATTAAAGAGGAAAAGAAGGGTGAAAATTCAGTTTGAAAGGTCATACTGAAAGAAAGACACTGTGTTATCCTTCACTCTCCTAAACTTGTTTGGATTAACAATATGCTTTGTTATTGTTGCTAATGGTCTATAACAACGACATTTCAAAGGCTTAATCCTAGCTATGCCTGACCAGTCTGAAACTGCTGTGATAGACGTAATCAACATTTTGTTTATGGGCTCTCAGACTAACTTCCATCATCATTTTATGAAAACAGTTTCTTGCATTTGAATGGTAAAAATAAACAAACAAAAATGCAAATAAGTACTCATTCTGGAAAACCTGTTCCTTAAAAGCATTTTGTCTAAATTTGTTCAAGTCAGACTGGGACAAATTTGCATTTCAAAGTATGCACCCCAAAAAAAAACCCCAAATCCAAATTCTTCTCAAATGCCAATTTTTTCAGAGGTTCTTTGTTGTGGTTTAGGCATACCATTTAAACCACATTTTGCTTTATCAGCTGCATATTCTTTCACTTCTGATTCTTCCTGCTCTGCAGTCTAACACTTGCCTTCTGGCTTTCAGACCTTGTCACATGCAATCAGAGATCATGGACGTCGAATGCAGAAGTGTGCTTTCTTCTAGTGCTAAAGCTGCACAGGCAAAGCTGAGACACAGTTTGTTAGGAGAGAAGCAGTACTGGTAAATTCCCTCCAACCAAATAAGTAGTGCTTTTTCGGAGAGATTCAAATGACTGCTCAAATAAGCCTGTTTTTAAGAGGTGACCGCATGTATGCAGCAGCATGCATGATTTTATGCTGCATGGGTAGGGTAATAAGCTGCATGTCTTACAAAATGGCAGATAATAGCTTTGAAGGTGAACCAGTCTTCTTAGGAGAGCAGTAAATAACTGATGAAATTAAGTTAGAAGTATATGACATGAGGAAGAGAAATGCATTAAAGGTTTGGGTTTGGAGAGGTTTTTTAAGTAGAAGTTTCAAAATAGTGGTCAAGGAGACCCAAACTTAGTGATCTGCAGAGCCTATCACTTTTACAGGATTCGCAATTAAAACTCACTGCTAAGAGCTCACAAGAACACCAAGAAAAATAAAGTTTAATAGCTAACTGGTGCAAGAGAAAAATCATTCATGAGTGAGTCACACTTCTAAAGAAACTTCATGGAAAACAGAGAACAACCAAGGAAACCAGTAATAAGCATACAGAGAGCAGAGACACAATTCCACAAGACCTTAGTTGCCACAAAACCAATTATTTTCCTTTCTCCTTCCTTCTCCTCCACTCACCATAGTGAGAAAGTTGTCTGAAAGGAAACAAGTATCTTTCAAAAACAAAGCTGCTCTGGGATCTCTTCCATTCAACTGTTCTCTAATTAATTTTCTTTTAATCAGCCACAAATTCTTGTTACCTTTGGCAAGTTTCTCTCACCACTTGCTTCTCAAGGTTTTTCCATCTCAAGGCCCTTCCTTCCCCCTGCACCTCTTTCTTTGCTACTCTCACTCATCCATGGAGTTCCCAAAGTCTTTCAGTCTTCATCAATTACATGTATTTTCTCTACCCATCTCCCAGGGAACTCTCTCCCATTACCCATACAGTAGGAAAGGTCTTTCAAAAAGATCTTACAAAAATCACATCTTCTACATAGTTTTACTGCCCACTTAGCTTTTATATAATATAGTAATTTGATTTCAAAGCAAAGTGTACATTACCAGTGTTCTTTACCCCCTCTTTCCACAGGGTTTATGTAAATAGGAAATGTTTTCTCTACCCTGAAGTTTTGCTAGAAAGAAGGTGCAGGGAAGTGGATTATACGACTTACATTTCAAGTGTCTTGAGGCCCAAGACTCCTTCCTCAACAAGCCATTCCCTGATCAGACTACATTCTCATGGTATACCACATATCTGCCACTGGAACTTGTATAACAATTACAGGACTTCTGGCTGAGGACTCAAGAGTGAAATTTCAAGCCAAACGTAGCAATGAAAATATGATAAACTTTATTGTGTAAGTTACCACAGAAGTATTTCAAATTGATATTTTGAGGCATTTGGTTTTCTCATTAAAAGCATCATTTCAAGAGAAACGTATTTTTGCATTAAAAATGTTTTCTTTGCAATCAAATTTCACACTTCAAAAGTTACCTATAGAAAAATTCTGATTGTCTATAGTAAGTCACTACCTTGCCTAAGTCACCTATGTTCATTGGAGTTCCTGTTGGGTCGGGGGCAGTAGTGAGGGCAGAAGAATATTTTTCAGAGTAGACTAGAACTATTGATTTTTCATCTCCCCTCAACTTCTTATGTGCACATAAAATACTCTGACAAAGGGCTCAAAAGCACTTTGAAATAGGCTTCAAGAATTTTTTGTAGGGTTTTTTTTCCTAATTAGTACATATATATGACAATAATGAGCTATCATATCAAACACTAGATGACTAAAGATTCTGACTGTACACAGACATACTTGCAATGAACTAGATATATTTATAAATGTTAAGATGCAAAATGAATAGGAGACATATGCACATGTGACTTCTGTTCTCCTTTCAAGGTAGGTACCATATGTTCCTACGGATCAGAAATAGCAGGAAGCTGTCTAACACATGTTGGCTGATTTTACCATATCTCTTGTGATTTTATTAATTGTGAACATGAAAAAAGACAATTTTTCCCTTGGAAAAGGTATGTTACAAAGTAGGCAGTACATATGACTTTTTCCCCATCACCCCTTTTCAGATTTAGGTTTATGCTGGAGGAACATCTCCTCTCGGACCTTAACAAACAAAACAGATGTACTAATTACCTGTGTGACTTTGCAGGTCTATATTACATATTTAATTGAATAGTAAAAAGGGAAATAAGCATTCTTTTATTCTTCCTCATTGATATTGTACAGTTAGCAACTAGATAAGCACATTTTCTTTTTCAGGAAAAGTTCAGTTGCTAAACTTAACTAACAACTATTATGCTAAATAGTTCTTGCTTTTCTTGCTCCGTTTTTTTTTTCTTGTGTTCCTCCATCCTTGCTCACTGCTTGTCATGTTTAAAATCCTCATCCAATTACTTTTGTGTATCCTTTCTTCTCCTTCACCTAGATGTCACTTAGCGTCATCTTAATCTCCCAGTTTGTTTTCCTTCTGGTTCAAAAACCTAAGTTTGTTACTTAAGTATCTCATCATTAGTTTATGTTGGGTTTTGTTTTGTTTTGTTTTTTAAATAAAAGCCATATATATATATATATATATATAGATATAGATATAGATATAGATATAGATATATATCACTGTATTCATTGCACTTCTTTCACTGACAAATCTTAGCACTATGAAGAAGCAGGCTAATCATATCCTCAGAATAAATAGAATATACTAAGCACTTTGCTATTCTGAGCCTCAAAAAAGAAAGCAAAATTAATCCTCAGTCATTACAGAAGATGACTGTTATATAAAGTCAGTACCTTATGTAATTAATGATATATTAACTGTCACTGTCAGCAATGTTTTTAACATTCTAGCCCTCTTAAAAACCTAAATAGGCCACAAATCTATCCATATACTCCCCTGGAGCAACAGACAATGCAAGTTCTGTTAACGAACACACTAGCAAGTAGGGCCTTCTGTTTATAATTCCTCTTATGTCTTTCTTATCCCTTCAGAGAAATACAAGAAAATTGGGAGGAAAAATACAGCTCTATATCAACCATATTCATTATCAAATATATCTCAAGGCAATTTTGTATTTTTTTTAACCTCATTTCAGTTACAGAATAAAATCTAGTAGGACACCTGAATCCTTGGAAAGTATAGTGCTTAAGTGTTAAACATAAACCTGAAAAATGCAGGTGCTTGAGATCTGACTTTTAAATCCATGCCTCCAATGTGGACACTGTGATGTTAGAACAATAGTGTGACCTGTGACAAATACCAAAGTACACTGAAGAGTCCGCTGTATCTAACAAAAAGAAATCCTTATGACATACCCACAAGACCACATTATATTACATTCTTTCCTGATGCAACTTTAGGGATGTGACATGGAGATACATAAAGGTCTACATACTAACTGTGTGAAAGCACAAGAGAAACTTCTCCCCAAGAGGCCTGAGCCAGATCAATGTGTTTCAAGATACAGGTGTGATTCATTTTCAGCTGCAGCAGATGTACCTTTGCCCTGATCCAGATGAATGTTTAAACAATGGAACCAGAATGGAACAGGATACAACTCTTTCTACCTGACTTCTGAAAGAACAAAGTAGTTTTAAATTTTGAAAGGTATAGGCAAATTTATTTTCAGGTTATAGAATTCTGAGGATCTAACTCCCCTACTTCCTAAACAAAGCATAAAAATCCCGAGTGGGAGTAGTTTTCAGATACACTTTGATTTTAGCTACTTTAAATAACTTCTGAATACTTTTTTCTGCCGAAGTTTTTTAGGAAATCACCTTTACAAAGCTTTGCATAGGACTGAGACACCTAACTGTGTTAGACATAGCAAAGGAAAACACCCTAGGAACTAAATCACTCTCTGAAGCCTCCATAGACACAAAACTTACTGAACAGCAA